AGGTATCCTAGAATATGCACCTTTGACTATTTCGCGTGCGCGTGTGTGTATGTGTGTACGTGTGTAAGTGTGAACATGTTTCATTTTCCTGTTCTCGATAGATAAAGTTCTGTCGTTGCTTCTTCCATCGGTAATCCTACGTCACGAAACGTCGGTTGGGCGAAAAATTACTTCCCCTAAACCAAGTATAGAAAAATAATGCCCCTGATTTATTGTCACTCACCTCTAGTTTTTTTAATCCCTTGGTTGCGATACGAACGATGCTGTCTCTCTTCCTTTCTCTATTGTTTCGTTAGGAACAATCGCACGTATTCGTTATCCCTATGAATCGAAAGTTAAATACACGGCACTTTCATGCTTTGTTAATTACGTTTTGGCTCGCGGTACCTTCGTTCGAAACAGCTCCAAGGAAGTAAGGGAAGAGCGGGGGGAAAAACGCATATTCCTACAATATACGCCACTGGCCGTCTACGTAAATAATACTTTGTCTCAGAATAGGTTGCATGAAAACATATAGAAAATGTTCGTCGTAGATGAAAACACGTCTTATAGGTTTTCGTTTAGAAGTACCGACGATGTATAGATTCGAAAATACGGCCAACGGCGCAAACTGGGGGCGAATAAACTACGACAAAGAGATACTAATATTTATAATATATAAATATATATATATACATATGTATATGTATATGTATATAGTATACAGGATGTTCGGCCACCCTCCCTGGGAAAAATTTTAATGGGAGATTCTAGAGGTCAAAATAAAACGAAAATCAAGGATACCAATTTGTTGATCGAGGCTTCGTTGAAAAGTTATAGAAACATTTCCAGCCACACAGTACATTTTCGGTAAAGAATTTTTTTCTCGAAAGTACGTAGGATTTCGGGGGTATGTCTATTGACCAAAAATGAATGCAATTGACCCCTGCAACCAAAAATAATTTTTCCAGAACGATTTGAAATTTTTGAATTTAATTGTTAATAACTTTTTAACGAAGCCTCCATCAACAAATTGGTACTCTTGATTTTCGTCTTATTTCGGCCTCTAGAATCGCCCATTAAAATTTTTTCCAGAGGTGGCCAAACACCCTGTATATGTATACACATGTATAGATATGTATGTACAAACACGCGCATCGATGCATCGAGAAATCGATCCAACTGCATCTTGGCGCATAATTTACACTACACGTATAATCACATACTATTCATTTACCAGAAAAAATACGATTCAACAGTGTAGAGGGGTGTGTGATATACCGCGCGCGTCAAATTGAAAATTTCACTACAGGTTTACAAAAACGGTATCAGCGTTTTTCGAATTATTTAAAAATTCGTAAACGTTTGTATCAAGAGATTGTATTCCGTTAGTATAATAATAATAATAATACTGTCTACGTGAAATTCCACGTCCCCGCGAATTTTTCGAACGCACGAAGAAGTTGTCGGCGATCGAGTGTCACAAACACCTGTTCCCACGTTTAATTGAATTTATTCGACGCGTCTCGATCCGTGATAATATATCGTTCAGCTGTTAAAACCGATCGCGATTGCTACGAAGCGGTGGATCACTTTTCGCGAAGTGCTTCGTTGATCCGTCGACGATCATCATTTACCGAATAGAGTCGATGGAAAGGGATGAAAATAAAAGATATTGCTAAGCGGCGTTAGCATGGAATAAGAGTGTTTTTAATGTTTTTTAACAACAACAGGTACAGTAACCAGTTTACCTGTAGTAAGTACGTTGGTAATTATTTCTTCCGTTTCTCCTTTTCTCTCCCTCTCGTGCATATCCTTTCGCCACGTCCCTTTCTCTCCCTCGCACACACACGAGGGCACGCACGCACGCATTCACGCACGCACGCACACACGCATACGTATATGTATACTCTCTAATTCGCTGCTTTGCATCGTGTCCCTCTATCAATTAATCAAAACTCACTTATTACTGTCTTTTGCATCTTACCCATGAAACCGGAGTAAGTAATTAATTTACGTAAGTAAGTTTGCTACACATCGTGTTACTATTCGACTGTCTATCTAGCTGACTATACTAAATAGTTGCGTTGCTAGAGTTCGGGTTAACCTACGTGGCCACGATTTCATGATCTTTCCAATAAACAGTGGGGTTCCAATATAAGAAAATCGTAACGCGAAATTGTAATCGTGCCGATTGGTCTCGTGTATCGACAGGCGAGAGAAGCAGCGAGACACGAGTCGAGACTTGCCGATCGACGATTTATGTTTTTTTGTTGGAAAGTCAGTGGATCGTCGACCGATCGCGGGAATGCTTACAGGGTGAAAGAGTGCGCTACGTCGAAGCTTTGTTTACAGAACATGAAAAATACGCAATAGATACAAATCCCGATCGTATACATGTATAATAATAATAATAATAATAATAATAATAATAATAGTGTCAGTACTCTAAGAAGTGTAACTGAGGTGTATTTGAAATAAATAAAATAAATAAATAAAATGACTACCTAATAAGGATGAGGATGACGATGACGGTGCGACGATGACGACGATGACGACGATTACGACGACGATGGCGACAAATGGCACATTTGACGAAAGAATATACTGGATACTACGTGGTAATTAATAGTAATACTTGTCGTGTACGACTAACGATATCAGCGATATTAATTAGCTGCAATTATCACGCGAGATACATCGCTACTGACTACACGCTAATCAGGAGAATGAAGTCCCGCGTCCGGGCAGGCCTCGTCGTCGGCCGGGAAAAATTGTCCTCGAAGAATATCTTTCTACCGGTTCTTGTCAGCCTTTGGGTCTCGGTGATCGACGAGGGCCTGCGAAAACGGGACTCGATCTCGATTTTTCTTGCTCAGTCACGCTAGGCAGAGATATCGAATTTCTCTCTCTCTATCTCTCGGACTACAGCTGGTCGATCCAGTTTAACGTTTATCCCGGTTTGTACTTTTTTTTGTAACATTCTCGAGGCCGCAAAATGTCCTCTCGTCGCAGAATTGTCTCGTGTCGTTAATGGAACGTTTAATCGAACGAAATCGCGCGCTCGCTCGCATCGACGAAACCGTGCCGATCGTCCTTTATTACTTTGCGTATCGGTATCGTCGACTCGAGCCAGTTCGATTCGCATTCTCGCTGTTTTTCTTCGAGCACGTGCTGGATAAATAGAGCGCCGACTCGCGGAAACGTACTCTCAAGAACCTAAGGAAATACCGAGGTACCGATTTCGTATTCGTATCGCGTAGGTTTAAAGGCGCGGTGTAATTAATAGCCGCGCGATCGATGATTGATATCTCCACGCGTCGATCGCGGCGCCGCTGCTTATTCCTACGGTTTACCACGATCGACGTGTTACGGGGGGGGGCAGCGCTAGAAAAAAAGAAAAAGGATAGCGCGAAACCGGTCGATCAACTGAAATTATCGAGACAATTTTACGAAATTATCGGCAACGTTTCCGCGTCTATTTTCCACATTTTCTTCTTTATTTAGAACAGCCGGGATCAGATTTAAAAAATATATGCGATACCTCGTACGCGACGCATGTATGCAAACGAATTACTAAGGTGTAGGGTGTAACTTTACGGATCGATACAACTCGTTACAAGAACGTACGTTTAAAATTTTCTCTACATATTGCGCCCGATGTTTTATCGTTCCGTAAAGTTTATAAAGATTCAGTATTTATATTTACAGAGGTAATAGATGTATCGTCGATCGCGGTTAGTTACCGTGGGATCGAGAGATCGTTCTCGAAGAAATTTCTTCCGGTTGCATTTTACGCAAATTCGCAAATAACAAACGATCGCCGTTCCTGTTTCGAATAGTCTTTCGATTAGCCCGAAGCGTGCAGTTTTCCTAGGCATAATACGGGACTGTTAAAGTCGGCATGCTTTTATTTTACGTATGTGTACCAACGTTGGTCCGACGAGACCTGGAACAGGTCAAGAAGTTGGTTAAAAATCCGTCCTATCGATCAAAGTTTCTATCCCCTTGTACTCGAAGCCAACCAAAAAGTGTAAACGGTCAAATGTAAATTGAAACGTCAGCGAAACCAAGTAGGTATTTACGAAGAACGCGACGATCCCATTGGTAATTGCGACGAAGGAAGAATAGACTGCGATGCTTGGATTTGTAATAAACTGTACAAAGTGGAAGAAATAATCGTGTACCGTTCGACGATATTATCGCTCGTCGTGGTCCTTTCTCCAGACATGTTCGAAGGTAAAAAATCATCGCGAAATAGAAACAAGTCTCGTACGCGTTGCAAGCAACAAGCCTATACTCCTTCTGTTTCGACGATACGATCGTAGGTATAATATTTACAAACGGGTATAGTCGTCGGGGTTTGAGGGAACGGGGTTTGAAAACGGTGCTCGCTTGGGTCGACGACTCGGAGAAAGAGGGTGAAATGAACGGTAAAATTTGTTTACCGGAAAACTTGTATCCATCGGTCCACGGTAATTGCTCGACGGAACCACGAGGAATGTTCGTTCGTTTCACCGATCAACGTTAAACGGTGTTTCTTTTTTATTTCTCGTTTTACCGGGTACTGGTGTACCGTATCGATTCGAAATCGTTATACAACAGTTCCAGAGAACGAAACATTGTGTACGAGACTGGACCTCGTTGATTCCCTTTACGTAATTTTAGATTTTGTTAATCGTCATTTTCCATGATTAATGTGATCACAGTTAAAGGTTGATAGTCTAATTAATTAATTGGGGAACATGGACAAAACGTTAGATAATTCAACAAAGTGTCATGCGACGAACCACTACTTGTATAAATACGAATCAAACACGCTTTTCTCTTCATAGAAAACCTCGTCCTTTCAAGCGTACGCTCGGCTCGATCGCCGACTTTGTCAAACGTACACTCGTTATATATACGCATATTTTTATGTATTATTATATAATTAATATATATATGTATGTATGTATGTATGTATATATATACATATATGTATTTATATTTGTATTTATAAGTATATATGTACTGGAAGAACAAGACACCGGACACGTCTACCGGCCTTAAAAAAAGCGTTACGAAAAACGCGCGGGTCCCATATCGAAAGAGTGCCTCGAAGACGAATGAAAAAAAGGCCAACCATCGTGCACGCGCGCGCGCGCGCGACAAATTTCGATCGATGGATCTTGGTTAAAAAAATGTCGGGAAATTCGTCGGTTCGCCGCGACGCGTTTCTCGCGGACAAAATTCGCTGGACTTGTTTAATTTCGTCTGTCCTGTTTTACTCGAAGCCAAGCTCTCCGACGGAAACGTCTTAGCGTGTACCTGCTTTCGAACGGAAGCAGCAAAACTTTCCTCGCGATCGTAATACGGTTATTAACGAAACGCTTCATCGCGAGCGCGGAGAGCTTGCCCTGTAAAAGTCGACTTTCGAGCGCACCGCGTCTTTAAAGCGACTCGTTTTAACTCGGATATTTAGCGGAATATCTCTCTCGTCGATGAAGGCGATGACGGTGGTAGTAAAGGTTTTTGGTGGCGGTGATGGCAGTAGTGGTGAACCATTACAAAGATCAACGATATACGTATACTTGTTTTACACTGTTTTCATCATCTCTCAAATCACGCATGCGACTACGTAAGGCCTCGCTTTGCCTTTGTACAGCACGACTGTCTCGTATCACGTTCGCTAATACACCACCTCTACTACGAAACGAAAAGAACAATGTTATCGATACACGTTGCATCGTTGCATATCCGAGCGACGTTTTCTGCGATTTTTCAAGGATCGTTTCGGAGGAGACGCGACACGACCGTACACTTTCGCGTACGCGCCTTTTTTTTTTTATAATTACAGACGCACATACGTTGTCGCGTCCCTTTCGAAACAACAGTCCCATAGACGTTGCGAGCGTGAATTCGTGGATACGAGATAATCGTTCAAACACGTGGTGTTAGTATAGACAAATCATTACTCATGCACGATACACCTCTGTTATCGTCGTCAAACAACCCCGATTCGGGTACTCTCTGTCCGTCGGTGAGTCTTCCACGTGGAAACGTATGTACTTTTTTTTCACGCTGTCGTCCGAATCGAGAAGAAATTCGGAATACGATGGACGACGATTAATTCCCGATGCAAGGGCTGTTCGGCGAACAAGTTACGAGGGCGCGAAATGGAACGACTCGCGTCACGTTGATTCCCAAGTTTCGCTAACAAGAAAACTTTGGGAACAGGGAGAAAGAACGTTGCCGGTCATCGAACATTGATAAATTCGACCGTTTCCGCGCGGAGAACTTCCCGACGTTGTAATAATCCACAGCCGCGGCCGAGACGGCTGAATCTTTTTTCAATTTCATTGATTGAATGTTCATGAAAAAGAAATTAAAGCGTACAAACAACTACGTTTTGAAAACTCGTGTTGGAAGAAGAAAGAGAAAAAGAAAATGAAGAACGATCGTCGAAAAAGTTTTACGCTTTCAAAGTAGCGAAGCATCCATCGTACGCAAATAGATTGAAAATAAATCGTAGGACAACCACCATATTACATATAATATAATATATACATATGTGTGTGTGTGTATGTGTGTGTGTGTGCGTGTGTGTGCGAGTGAGTGTGAATGCCCTTTGGAAGCAGCCGTTCTCGATCCCGAGGCTCTCTTTTTTCTTTCTTTTGTTTACTCGAAAAGTGTCTAAATTATACATGTAACTACTACGCCTACACACACCATCGGCGGCTCTTAGCTCTGCTAGTAACAACTACCAACATTTACCATGAAGATTACTATATAGATTACGATGCGTATGATAGAATGATATATCGGTTCTCTGGATCACCGAAACAGTGCCAGAGAGTCGAATACGTTTTGTTATCGACGATAAAAATAATGCTCGCAACTAACACGCTAAACCTCTCAATGCCTAAACGGCGCTATGTGAAAATCTACGGAACGATGCGTGTATATGTATAATAATAATAATAATAATAATAATAATAATAATAATAATAATACGTATATACGTCTATTTACACAGGGTGGGTGGAACATCCTGGCGCAGTCGGGGATAGTTGGTCGACGCGAGTCGAATTCTTCCGGTCGAACGAAAATCGGTGAAGTACTTTTCTTGAAATGTTGTTTTTCGCTGTACCAAGATGCTTAGACCACCCTGTACATACGCAACAAGTACGTAACGGGGTAGAAAGGGGTAGAGAGAAAAAAGAAAATGGTCTTACCTGTTTCTCAGCCGCGGTGGTCGGCCTTGCTCTCGAGCCTGAATCCGTAATGGCGGTTCTCTTCGCCTTCTCTAGCGACCGACACTCTCAATTCTACTCTGCCTATGGGAATTAATATGCATCTAAATCGTTCCTGGCTCTCTTCCCGCTGTCTCGAATTTTGGTATTGCGTTACATTGTTCCCTCTCTCTATTTCTGTATTGTTTCGTTCGTCCTTGACTTCTTTTTGTCGTTCGAGTTACGAAGGGGTGGCTGGGCCGGGTGAATACGGGAATACACGACGGGGGCATAGATAGATCGGATAAGGCACTCGGGTTCTGTCGAATCGACGATCGTAAAACGAGGGAAAAAGAGTGGCCCCCCAACTGCACGGAGAAAGCAGAAGGAAGCAAACGCGTTGATTCTTTTTCGATTCCCGTCGACCGACCCGTTTTTTACTCGCGTTGATTCCGGATCGTGCGAAATTACGGCCGTAGCGATAATCGATATGTCGCGGGTACTCGATATGTCTTTTACTTACGCTTCGCTCGACGCAGTTGGAATAATTCCGAACGATCGCGCGTCACGAGCGAAACGTTCATCGAATCGGTCCAGGTACGTGAAAAAATGTCTCGTTGAAAAGTCGATGAGTATTCACAGTTTCTTGGTCTTTCGCTGCCCCGAGGAGTCTTCTCTCTTTAATAAGAATCCCCGTGCTCGCGAGAACAACGACAAAACGCGAGAGGAATCACAGCGCGATATATTTACGTATGTATAAAACGAACTACGATCTAGAACTCGTACCAAACTAACTCGACGATATGTATGTATGTACACCGATCCCGAGGATCGCCAATTTTCCATCTAACATCGTTTCGAAGGCAAAGGTTTTCGCATTTATACCGAACTCTTTCGAACCCTATCTCGATCGACACGACTCGAAGAGGTCTCGCGAACCTGTAAAAACCGGAAGAATCTCTTTCTCCGTGTTGGGATGCCAGGTGTCTTCGCATGCTCGAACAAATCGAGAGTCATCGTCGATTACTCGTCTCTCTTTCTCTCTCTTTAGTAAACTCCTAAGGATGTTGTGTCGGTGTCTTTTCACGAATATCACGTTCGACGACGACGACACTCGTTCCTTCGATCGAGCGTACGAACAGAAAAGGTTAGGTTCACCGCGATATGCTCTCTTTCTTCGAACGGCTCCGAAATCAGCGGCAGAACGCGCATAATTTGTCCCCGTTAACCATTTGCGCTTGGGGCCAGAGTTTCTCAGCATGACAGACAGCTATACTTTCTACCGCGATTTCCGATTAATTTTTTACTTCCGCGATATTCCTACGTACGATCGAACGAAACTTGTACCGTTCCAAGAAAGTGCAAAGGGCTAAAGGGGGCGACGAGGTAAGTCGAGCCTTCGCACTCTTCGGGATGTCGGAGGACTAAGGAAAACCAAGTAAGAATTCTTACCACGGTTGCTCAAAATTCTCAACTTTAGACTGAAAATTCCGATGCCATCCGACCGTAACTTTCCTTCGATTTCTTTTATTCCAAGATACTGCGTGTTACCCCGGTTGGTCTTACGGTTGCTTGGCACCGCGACTCGCTCTTGTACGTTTTAAAAGTACGCACGCGTCCCACCGGTTTAGCTTGACAGCCAAAAGGTTGAGCAATCGTGAAAGAGGGAGCCTGTTGGGGGTTGTTGGTAAAAAAACTGTGTACATATGGAATTTATTAAAGTTTACTCTTACTTGCTGGTTAGAGTGCGCCAGAGGTGGTCTAGCTAAAATGCATGCGCTACAACAATTCCGCTGGCTGTCTTAAACCGCTTAAGAAGCAACATGGGGCGACAGGAGAGAGGAAGTAATGTTAAAAACGTTATTATCTATGCGTGCCGGAGGGCACGCCGCCCTTCTGCTCGATAGGAACAACAGCCTTGAATCGCGGAAATACGCGATCGGAAAACGCTACGTTCGTAACTCTGTCCATATACGATATAGAGATATGTAGCTGGAAATGCTTAAACACGGCTGTCTTCTGCTACCCTGTTCGGTACTATCAAGGACCTTGATGCGTTTCGCTCGTTTCCGTTCGCTTTTAAATTACGAAGAAGGGAGAGTCTTGCGTCGATCTCGCGAGGAAATCATTGAGCGTGCGTAGGTTCGTTTTAACCGGTCGAACGAAGAATTCTTTGGATCGAGGAGCCCTCGAGCGATATCGGAACTATTCGCGATTCGTAAACGACGCGAGATACTATTGCAAAAGCGCGAGAAAGGTCCTCGATGCGCGATACGCGATGCGAGCTAGCTTCGTGCCGAAGGGCACGCAGGGGCCATGTTCCGACCAACCAGAGAGCGGCGCGAAACGAGTGCCCAGCGGGGTTAACGAGGCTAATTACGGCTTAATATTAATTAGCCAATTAGCGATGCGCCCGCGGTGGCGCGCCTCCGGCAGCAACGGCTGCGCCGACGTTCGACGCCGCCGACGAATGGAAAAGTCCAAGGGAAAAGAAGAAAAAAAAAATTGAAACAAAGTAGGAGGAGAACAAACAAATCGTAAAAATAATCAATGTACGCTGGGATACCGTGTATCGCATTAAATACAAAACAAACACGCTAGATTTTAGGTTAAGTGAGGTATACAGAGAGACATAAAAGTATACATACATGGATGTGAGCGAGAGGATAGTGAAGTGTTACACAGCACCAAAAAGAAAAAATAAATAAATTACTTCTGGCGAAGGTAAAAATAACAAACAAGTACAATTAACCGAGGTATGCAGATACGGCTGGAGGATATTTGTTACGAATAGAAGGAGGGAGATATCAGCACAGGACGAATTGGATGTCGTGAGAGTATACAAAATAGATACACAATATACAGGTTAGCTACAAGTTTGAAACGAACTACTTTATTGGCAACTCATCTAGGCATCGAACTAAACTAATATCTGTCGTACTTGTCATTCTTCGCGTTCGCCGCCCTGCGTACTCCCGTTATGTCGCGCTCTCTCTTTCTCTCTCTCTCACTCTCTCTTTCACTCCCCCTCTCATCATCACCCCGTCCCCCTCCCGTTTTCGATCGATGGCCGATGGATCAAGGATAGATGTATTTGTACGCGTGTCCGTTTTTCAGGGAGTTTTTTTTCGCGTCGAGGGCTGGTTCGTCGAGAAAGAAACATAATGCTCGAAAGATCAACGCGAAACCTAGATCCGCTATCGTTTTCTTCTCTTTTTCGTCGTTAAAGAAAAGGCTCACCCGATGGAGATTAATACTCGTTATACATAATATTTGCGTTCGATACAAGAACGTCACACGAAGCGGAGAAAACGAAACGATACGGAGCCGCCATCGTTTCGGAATATCGATGAACTGATCGAAATTTGTTTGCGAGTACGTTCCGTCGAACAAAATGTTCTTCCACGTGGCGAACCGAAATACAGCATGGACCACCGCATCGATTGAAGCGTATCCCGTGGGCGGTCGACGACTCGAGGGTTGTCGTTTCATCCCCCTTTGGATGTTGAATCTGTTAGTGCACGCGAGGCGAGCGTCTCGTTGCACGGTTCTAACCCCCCAGCCCCGTCCCCCACCCCATCGTTTATGGCACCACGAAAAACACGTACTCGCACACGTACACAGGCGTACAGATAGAAGACAAGATAAGGCTAAAAAGAAAATAAAGGAAAGATATTGATACGGGAGAAGGAGAAGAAGAAGAGGGGACGAAACCCGACAACGAGAATCTCGAACTCGTGCAAGCTTATTTCACGGGCGACGCGTGATCTTTAACAAATTAAACATCTTTCTATACGTTTGAAAAGTTCCAATAGACGCCCACGATCGTATTCGAATGCGAAAATAATCGCTGGTAAGAATGACAAAGAGCAACGACATACCGATGTTCGTGAAACGTACTTGCAGGGGTGGCGGTAAAAGGCGGGCAAAAATAATTGTTGATAATAATTACTAATAATAAGAATAATAATACTAAGTAAGTAACCGCCATACGAGGCACGAAATATCGGGATCGCGTAAACAAGGACGTGTCTGGAGTTGTGGATGAATTCGCGGGAGGATGTGGGACGCGTCTCGGCAAGGGGTGCGTTTTTTAGTTTTCTTTTTGTCTCTTTTCATCAAGTTCGGCTCTCTTTTCATCGAAACGGCTTAATGAGGTTCTTTCCTTTCTTTTATTCGCCAATAATTCGCTGCTTCGATTTTCCTGAAGACTTTGTTTTTTAAACTCGCTCGCCACCGAGTGATTAATTACAATCTTTCGAGCTACATGGCAATTACGAGATACAACGATTCTACCAAAACGGATATCGATATCGACAAATTTATTAATTTCGTTGCAGTAAATAGCTGCGTGAGAAAGAGGTATAGCTGGAAAATAAAAAATCCTAGGCGTTTCTCGATTAAATCGCGCGCAACGAAAGTTGAAACGGCGAGGGAAATGAAGAAACTGGATACAGGAACGTATCGTGAACTGTGGTCAGAGGAACAACCAGTCGGTAGACGTTTTGCGTGTGTATATACACAGATATTTAAATTGGTAACATTACGATTGACCGCAACGAAAGCGTATTGCTCGAAGAATCGTCGTCGACGCAAGACTCCCACGTTCTTTTCTTTCCGCATCAACGATAAAGCTAGTTTCCTTTCCTTCTGGTTGCACGGTACGGATACATCTTTGTACGATTAAAAATTCAAAAAGAACAACAACAACAAAAGTCTGACCGAGAAAATAAACGAACGAGAAAGCAAACGAGAATAAAAAAAAAAGAAAAAAAAAGAAGAAAGAACAATCGAATGGGTACCCCTTGTCGCGACGCGGACGCGATCAAACGTCGGCAACAAGACAGAGCAGCGAGACACTGTATGCTTTAGAAATGTACGAAGAAACGACGAAGGCGGTGAAGGAACAGCGTAGGGTATCCGGTACTAAAAGATATTTCAACCAGCATGCTTCACCTACTGATCATTCTCAACTAGTGGGTGGTTAACGCTCATCAAAATATACTAACTACGCTAACAATTACTCTCGACATTCGCAATATGTGTGTATCTATGTGTTTGCATATTTTAGTGTGTGTGTGCGTGCATGTGTGTGTGTGTGTGTGTTTTGCGTATAAAATACATAATCATCTGTAGAGGTGTATCAAAGGGGTTTAAAGGGTGTTGGAAAAGACGAGTAAGTCTTGCGAAGGAGGGATAAGGGTTAGCTGTAAACGAAGATGGTATTCGCGTCGATGCAAGATCAAAGATCATTCCAAAACGCACGGTCGAAGATATCGATCCGTCGAATCAATGGTTTCCCTTTTGATTCTCGACGACGAGTCGTAAACACCGTATCCATCTGCTCGCGCAGAATTTATTGCCGAATCTTTCGATGAAAAGGATGCGCGAGGACACACACACGATGCACGGTCGACTCGGTGGATGTGCGCGTTCTGCTCTCATTGTTCGCGCGTTTGGCAATAGCCGATGTCGTCGAGTCTGTTCGAGCGAAAACTAAACGGAGGAACTATTCCTTGGAAAAAGAAGAAAATTGATCTCTTTCGTGCAACGTCGCGAAAGGATCGACGACACTGGGGAGGGGGGAAAGAAAAGACTAAAAGATCAGAGGATGGGGTTGGTGGTGGTGGCGGTGGCGGTGGTGGTGGCGGTGGTGTAGGGGCGGACGGGTTAGGGTACATCGATGTCGGGTATCCTCGAGGTCAGCTTTAAGTACGCACCGATTTCCTAGCTCTCGAAACGGCGCATCGAGTACGCAAACCGTGGAAAATAGAATTCGGTTTGCACCTAGCGGTGTTTCAGCTCGAATTATCGCCACCTGCTTTTTTTTTTCTCGCTAAATTGCGCTCGCGCGCGTGCTTGCTTGTGTTTGCTTCACGCGGTTTCTTAAGGCGTACTTCTCGTCGCTTATTTTTTCTTTTTCCGCTTATCGTTCTAAGTATCATCTTACGTGTAAGTCATAAATATCACTCACGAGCTTTGTCGTCGTTAACATTACGATACATGTTAAGTAAGTATATTAAGGTGTATATCACTAAAGAATATTACTTGTCGTTTGGAAGAGGATTCTTCCTTGCTCCCTGTTTGTCAAACAGCGAGCCTCTCACGCACAGATTATCGCATTTTTTTTTCGTTTTTTTTTTCTTTTTTACTTTTTCATCTCGTTTCGCTTATCGCGATAGTTAAACGTAAACGGTACAGCTTTAAGGTTTCAATGGATATCGCTTATTGCTGGAAATTTCTCGCGCGGTTTATCGCTACACGCTCCTCTCGTCGTCGACGACTTCCGTGCGCGCGCGTCTTCTTCTCACGAATCGCGGCATCTACCTGCACATCGATCGTTCGCATTTCCATCGAGATCGTTTCACTAATCGTCTATAAGTACACCGATCGAAATATTTATTTGAAAAATAAAGAAAATAATCACGGAAGATCACCGTTAAGACTCGGTCCTATCGTCGAGTTTTACTTTGCACCGCGTTTATTTAAAAAGAAAAAAGAAAAAATGATTCACGAAAGCGCAAGGTACGATAGTTGAACAAAAGCGTGCGCAAGCTAGTCGGAAATAGCGAAAGATCAAAGTCGCAGGAACGGTAGCCGCCTCGATCGTATTTTATCGCTGTGAATGAGAGGAGCGTGGTGCGCGCGCGAATTCGTATAAATTAAGTATCGACTTCGTTTTGTTACGAATGCCTTAAAAACCTATCTTAAAACTGGTTGAAACTTACAAACTAGGCGCGCTTAATTTAACGCTGAGCTAATCTCGATCTTGGGTTCTTGTTAACGCAGTCGCAGTCGCAGCCGCGAATGCTCGCGACTCGAAACTATTTCTAGAAACTTGAGTATCATTCTTCAAAAAACGTGTCTGTCTCTGTTTCGTATCCTCTAATCGCGCGTAGCGCTCGTTCAGTCTTCAACGAGTCCTACTAATCGCGCGATGGAGTAAATATTGTCTTCCATTACTCGGAGAAAAATATATGTATACCTATACATAACTATTTCTATTTAGACGCGTTACTTGTATGCACTTTATACAAGTTCTGCATGCTGGTATCCGCATGTACGTGTGTACCGTGTGGCGACTGATCGAGTGGTGTGTACGGTCTGTTTAAAGATCGATCCGTTGCGATCGCGATGCCGATCGCCGAGCGGAAGCACGCCGGAGCACGAACGATCGGATAAGATCGAGCGGTGCCGATGGAAGCTGGTGCGGAGGAGTATTCGGCGACGGTCCCTCGAGGGATCGATCCGAAGGTTTCGTTTGGCACTTTCACCGAGGCGGAGGAGTATCGCGCAACGAACAGGAGAACTGCCTCGTTCTCTGAAGAGGAAGAAAGGAGTGACGGGTTGGAATCGCCGACTCGCGGGTCGACGATCGAAACAGACGCGGCGTTCTTCTTCGCGCGTGCTTCCGCTTGGCACACGAGCAACGCTATCCCATGTTCAAAAGGAAGAGGGTAACCTCGGGCAACGAAGATTAAAGAAAAGTAACGTTAGAGTAGATTCAGTTCGCAAGCTCGGTTCACGGCACAACGTCCAGAGATATACATATACGTATATCTCTATGTATCTCACTCTCTCGCTCCCTCTTCCTTTCACGCTTTCTTTCTCTCTAACTCCCCTGTTTTATTGCTTCGTGGTCGAGATCCTTGAGAGTAAGGCGGTCGTGGTTCACGGCCGCCTATATCGCTTAATTAATTAAGTAATTAGTTATCGTGTACGGTTGGGCGCGGCGGGAAGCCGGGAAACAACGCGAACGATGTCACGCGCGTATCGTGTGTCAGGGAGCGTGCTAATCTAACTAGGAACCGAGTGTGGTGGAAACGCAAAACGCGCGGCTTAATCGCGTGGACAAAAGGAATATACCGACGGGCTCTCGAATGAGGGATGAAAAAATATCGTAACGAAACACGCGATACGACGAAACACACATCGGTCTCCTTCTCTCATTCAATCGCTCGTTCGTTCGTTCGTTCGTTTGCTCGCTCATTCACTCATTCATGTCCTCACTTACACGTGCTTTCTCTCTCTCTCTTTCTCTCTCTCCTCCTCTCGCTAATAAATTAATTGACAAGCGATAATGATGAGTAGTAAACGCAAGAAAAATGACTTCGGTTTCCGGCCGGTAAAATCCTCGTGCTCTATTTTCTCGAGGGTACGCACGCGCAACTCTGACTCTGATCCTTGCGAGCTTGCTTCCGCGCTTCCACGATTTTCGAAACGTTCGAGGTTCTCGTGCGTTGTGACGACGTGTTCTCGAACCACCATGAAGACGTTCGAACGAATGTCCGAGATGAGTTCCAAAGAGCAAAGTAAACGATGGTCCAACGTCGTCGAATATGGTTAGCAGACCAGAGAGTAGAAACGAGTCGGAAGCTCGGAAGGTGATGCCGGATCGGTGGTGTCCGTACGTAACAGCCGTATCTCGTATTTGATGTTGATATTGAGATGCCTTCGTGTGTGTGTGGATGCGGTGCGTATACAAGTGCGTATACACAGAACCAAGCATAAACACGAATAGGCGCGTATACAGAGGTACATCGGCGCGCGTGTAACGATGATGGAAGCGCGCGTTACGTGTCTTCGGATCAGAGTTCGTGTATCGACGAGTTATTAGACTTATTAGACGTACATGCCCATACCGTACATAGAACTCCAGTCGACGCCCTGGAAGCTGGACATGTCGACGTTAGTGAGCGAATAACCTTGATAGGGATTCGCGGGTGCAGCGGCGGCCGCGGCAGCAGCAGCAGGCGTCGCGGCGGCAGCAGCTGCAGCCGCGGCAGCGGCGGATGGCGGCGCGGGTGCAGGAGCTGGGGCTGCTGCTGCCGCGGCTGCGGCCACCGCCGCGGCTGGAATCGGGTATGGCGCGTATCTGTACGCGGATAACGCCGGATAGCTACTGGCGAACAATTTCCCGTATCCGGCGACGGCGTTCTGCACCTGAGCAGCAGCGGCCGCGGCCGCAGCCGCTTGTACTTGAGCTTGTGCCTGAGCGGCGACTATCTGCGAGGCCGCGGCGACCGGAAGCGGCGGCTGAGGCGCCAATCGAACCCCAAGAGCGCCCAACACCACTCTCTTCCCGAGAGCCAACGCGCCAGGTTGAACCGCCTCCTTCGGCTGAGCCTTCTTACACTCGACCTTCTTGTTCTTGATCGTATGAAAGTGAATCTCGCACACGCGATCCACTACGTCCTCGTTCTCGAACGTGACGAACCCAAAGCCACGGTGCCGCTTAGTTTGTTGGTCCATCAGCATCACGGTCTCCTCGACCTTGCCGAACTGGTTGAAGTAGGCCTTCACCTCGTCGCTGCTAGTATCCTGACTGACGCCACCGACGAAGATCTTCTTGGTGCGATTCGCCTGTTTCGCGCGGTTCTTCGGCGTTGCGTGTTTCGGGTCGATCTTCTTACCATCCAACGTGTGGATTGGACACTTCAGCACCTTGTCCACGCTACCCGGCTCGGCGAACGTGATGAAGCCGAATCCACGACTACGCTGTAACCGAACAAGCCAGAACGGCCACGATGCACAACCACCGACTCTCTCATCTTTCCCTGCTTTGTTTTTCGCTTTCCGCCCGACTGCCTCTCCCTGTCGCGCGGTTTCTTACCCTCTCGTCCGAGTGTCTCTTGGCTTCTCGATAACCTGCCTACTCGATCTATCTTTCGCAGCGCGTGATCTTTTGTCGCAGAATATCGTCGCGACGCGACGCGACGCGCTGCGCCGGTCAGTTAACCTCTCCGCTGTTCTACATAGTTTCCGCGCTCTTCATCGGTTATCGTCAACGAGCTTCTTCACCGATAAATACCATCTTTCTTTACCTTTCGTCCAACAACGAACAATCGAAACGATCGCGACGCAGCGAACAAGTTAACTGCCATCCAATTATTTCCCGCAACTTTCGCGATGCACGCGACCGCTATCAACGCGTTACGATCCGTCCGTTTCCTATCGCACTTTTTCCCAACAACTCTCGTTTCATCGAACAAGCTATCTATTACCGTCGCGTTTGTCGTGATAAATAATAATCCGTCTCGTTTTTTTCTATCGTACTCTCTCTCTCTGTATGTAAAAATGGTACCGTGATATATATATAGTATATATATATCTTCTTTTATATACAATAAACTAAATACTACCAAACTACCGTTTACATGCAAGACTGTCCAAGCCAATGTAAGACAAACATTCTAGGATTACGTGAGACAAGGACTTTGAATTATACGATAAAGATTCAACTGAGAATTACGATCGTTAAATGTATCGCTACCGAATATATGATAGATATAATGTGTGTCCAGAATCCTCGTTCGGTGCTTCCCCTCGAATCCCGATGCCGTGTGTGCGTCTGAATGTGTGTACGTGTGTGTGTGTATGTGTGTGCGTGCGTGTAGACGTATCTTTAGAAACGAGCCTCTGCCTCTTTTCCACCTTTTACGTTTTAAATACAAGTTTTAATACAGTAAAGTACCAAGATACACTTCTACTTCCTTTACACTGTCTCAGCAATTAGTTACATCGATTAGTACAACTTCTTCTCTACGATCTACTGTGTGAAGTCTCGTGCAAAAGTGGAAGGAAGAAACTGGTGCATCGAATCTCCTCGAGGCGAATTAGCGTTTCGACTTTTTTTTTTCTTTTTTTTTTTTTTTTTAAATTTTTGTTCTTTGTTATCCCCTCCCCCCACTCGGAGAGCTTTTCGGCTCGGCCGACACACCGATGCGAACGATTTGACCTATCGAGGAGGAAATGGACGAGAATTTGAAAACGCCGGTGGCCCGTTTACGAGCTTGCCCTTCGTGAAACCTAGTCAGAAACCGTCGTTCTACAATTGTACTCGTAGAGCACCCGCGCTCTACGAATCGTTTCTCGTTTTCGACCGAGTGTTTAATCGGTACTCGATATAGACGAACGTTTCTCGAACGGGCTCGCGAACGGGCTACTGTCGAAGATGGAGGAGCCGAGAGAGCTTTCCATCGAGTAGACCGACCTGTGTGACCGGATCCTTCATGATGAGGACATCGGTGACGGTGCCAAACATGCCAAAGTACTCCCTGAGCTTCTCGCTGTTGGTCTGCCAGGACAAGCCACCGACGAACAGTTTGCCCGGTGCCGGGTCGCCTCCGTTTGGTGTACTTCGACCGGAACTGCCGGAATGGCTACCGTTTATAGGTACCAGGGCGTTGTGAAAATCGTGCTCGATCGCACCGTTCGCCGCTTCCATACTGGCGCTGAAACATAACGAATCGGTGGTAAATTAGAAGGTTGGCCCGTTCGACCGAATTTCGAATAATTTCGCGCGCGGTGACTCGAAAAGACCAACGAAAGTTTATCTTTTGTTCCAAGGAGACCCCGTCCGTCGTGCATACTTTGCACACCTACGTATATTTCTGAACGGCAGTTCTACACCGATACCGATAAAATATCTGGCGACGGTGCTTTTCTCTTATCATTTATTTAGCAGTAGACGACGGGCTACTAGTATTTTAATTAACGGTGTGCCGCGTTGAAAAAGCTTTTCCCAGTCGCTGGGTTCTTTACCGGCAATTTACTGCCCGATCTGGAGCTAACCCGAACCTCTCGTTTCCTTTTTCACGTTTATGTTTATGCCGCGTGGCATTAAACGAACCTCTATAGAGCCTTTTGAATATTTCAAACGCGTCGAAACGCCCTTCGAATCCAGCCTCGCTCCCACTAAATATTCCCCTCTATGCTCGCGCGCGCCCCCCCAGCCTCAAAAGCGTCATTGTTGCTCACGCAATTTTATTAATTACCGATCTTTTCACGGATCGAAGCCTGTTGCTTAGTTCGCTGCAAAGGTGAAAAATAAAAGCGAGCTTGGAACGTGTACAACGTGGCAAATATTCGTCCGAAGTTAATCGATAAGAAGCAACGAAATCTTGCGAAAGAAAAACTTCCCTCTATTTTTGTTACCAGGTGATACCGCTGATCGTATTAAAAGCTTGCGTGCTCTTGGCGATACCACTGATAAGCTGCCACAGGATGTTTTTCACCACGATCGATGTTCAGTAAGTTGGTCTGCTTGGCGCAAATTTGAAAAGTAAAGGGTTTTCACGCGAATCGGTGAGAAAATGTGAACCGTGACGAAAGAAACGCGCTATTCGCAAACAGATTTCGCAAATTTGCTTGCTTCGATAATTTAATCGGAGCTTTTCTGTGCGCAGACTTGGCGGCTATCACCGTTACGAAATTCCGCCCGTTCCACGGTTCATCGATCTACGGAATCCTCGAGTTCTGAAGGTAAGTGGCCTTTAATTACCCTTTGCAACGTTTCCGTGATTACACCTCCTGTCGATAGTTGGATCTCTGCGTTCGAAAACGCGAAAGAAACCGCGGTCCTACACGATGTACGCAAGTACGGGGAACGATTTTATCGAACGGTATTCGATACCGATCTGTCAACTTTTTCTCGTTGGATATAAAAAATAAGTGTGAGGTACCCAGACAACGGTTCTTTATTACCAGCAGCGTGCTCGAGTAAGAAACTTGATCATTTAAAAATAATTCTGGATAAATTGGTTCGAGCACGGAACGGCCAGTTCTGACTGCCGTTTTTCTCTGTCGCGGCGGTAAGATTTAATCGGCCAGACGAGAACGCGTCGCTAGACTTGGCCACTGTTTCGCCGATCCACCGAGCGAATAATTGGGAAAGATAACGGCGTTTCCGCGTGGGAAAAAAAAAAAGAATGATAAAGACTTCGAAGACGCGGCAAACAGCCCGAAACACGAACGAGTAAGCACGAGGGCGTTTGCCCGGTACTTTCTTGGAAAGAACGCGTGTTCCATATGCGCGTACGTATACACGCGTCGATATCGAATCGACCAGGGGCGAAGACTACGCGACGATATTTTATTTTCTCTCCGCTGTCACCCTTCGTTACTCGTAACTGCTATCGATTCGCCGTCTCTGTCCGCTACGCGGAGTTACAACGATGCCGCGACTCCCGCGAGATTCCCATCCGGCCGATGTATCCGTCTATCTTCTTCATCCATCACAGTCGCCGTGCAAACTACCAATCGTCGTCTATTATCCATACTCCGAATCGAACCGAAGCTGCGTTCTCTCCTCTCTTTTCCTTAACTCGTTTGTTTCCATTGTTGGCCGTTGTGAAATCTTGCCAACGTGATCGTCATTTACGATTATAAATAAAATAATTTATCCAATAGCCAGAGTTTATTGCATGGGTACGGGAGATGTACTGTTACAATTAGTACGCGTCGCTTGGAAATTCTTTTCAATCTCCTGCATCAATTAAAAACGAGCAAAACAAGTTGAGAAAAGTTCGATGGAAGATCGGTTGGAGGGAACTGGAGAGATGTACGCTGTTGGCTTTTGCCCCAGGATCTGCTAGAAACAGCGTACATTCACCGGAAGAAAGGAACGTGGGAGTGGTGGGTCGAGGGTAGCGGAAGAGCTGCACGTTACTCTGGTTCGGTTCTATCGCCGCGAGGAACGCGAACAGAGCGTACGTATCACGAGGATATTCGGGGTGCAGAGGTCGTGGAGGCGCGCGTCGCGCTGCTCTGCTCTGCTCGGCTCGGTTCGCTCGGTTCGGCTCGACTCGGCGCAGGCTCTAGCCGAAGGTCCCGGGTGTAGAGGGAAACAAAGAGAAAAGGGGTGTTTGCGTGCGCGCGTACTACGCCCCTGAGGGGAAAGCGAGAGAAGAGCGAGCGTGCGCGAAATAAAGAAGCTCTGTAACGCGGTTCACGGTGTAGGAAGCATGACAGAGACTAAGCAAAGAGAACTAAGAACAAGGACGACGAACCGGCCAGCGATGGAATTAATTCGAGCTCCTCGCTTCTTACCCAAGGATTCTCTAACGGATTCGATTCCTTTGACCAGTAGGTATAGCGGTATATGGTACCTTGGCGAACGACGGAACGAAACTCGACCGACGTACGCCGTTTGGCGATTTCGCAGTCGCGTCTACGTGGGAATTTATTTAAACGGGTCGTCGTTCGGCGATAAGTCTTGTATTATAGTTTTGAAACTGCGGGTAAGATGCGCCGCTAACCTGAACGGGCTCGAACGAAAGCATCGATGGTACCCCGCCGCTCGTAAGGGTATTGTTCCCATCGCTATAGCCAGACAAGCTGGAAAGAGAAAAGCAACCGGAGACCAGAGAAAGAGCGAGTCCAAGCGAAACGGGCCGAGGGAGTCGAGCAGCGGGGGTGGAGAGGCTGAGGCTGAGGCCGAGGGCGAGGGTGAGGATGAGGGTGAGGGTGGTTTGGGCAGCGGGGGCGAAGGGTAAGAGTACGCGCAGCTGGTGGATCAATACGCCCCTCCGTTCCTCCCTCTCCGAGTTGTCGCACGATCCCTTTTGCAATGTTCCGCCCCTGCGGAACGTCTATCGGAAGATGCGACGCTCTTTTTCGCTTTCGCCGGCAAATGTCCACGTAAACTCGTCTCTCTCGTTGCTGCCACTCCGCATTAACCAGCTTTTTCTTCCGTGCTCCTTCCCGTTGCGTCTCGTTGTCCCTCTTTCGAAATTCCAAACGAGCACTTTTTTTTTTATCCACCCCCGAGAAATTGATCCGCGAGCACGCTAGCTTCGCGGCGACGCGTCGCGATGGTTGTTGCTCGTTTCGTCCAACGATCCTCGGAAACTTCCTCTTTCGAGCAGCCCAAGCTATTTTGTAAATTTACTTTGACCGATCCCGATGGTTGTTCTTTTCGTGAAACGGAGACGATATTATGTAATTATTCTACTCTCCGGCAGTTCCATTCCAGACACAATACACCTGTACATCACGTTTCCCGCAAACGAAAGGGAGTGGATTTCTTTATGTAAAAACAACTTCGTTGTACGGACCAACGATTCAAGGCGAAATAGCTTCGGCCGTACACATGGGCCGACGGTCATCTGTTAATTCTGATCAGGAGAAACAGTCGCGGACCGCACGAATACTCCTTTTTCACAAGGATCGCGCGATCGATTAATGCGAAAGTTGACGGTTGATGGTTGACGAACATTGACCGTGACCCTTTGTTCGGAAGGAATCGCTATTCACGCTGGGAACTGCGTCGTTTGTAACTTGAAATCGATCAAAAATGGAGCAACGACGGAATAAATTGGAAAATTGCGATCGAACGATCCACCATGGCAGCCATGACCTGGATCGTTTCGAATACGGAAATGTGGAAACGCGCAAATGCGCAAATCGAGCGAAGAGGAAGCGAGGATATAAATGAAGAACCCGGTGAGACGAGGCAAAGCAAGGAGGAGAGAAAACTGGACACGAGTACGATTCCAATATTTCCAGTATCGATAGACAGCCCGTGCTGCCGCCGTGCCGGCAGCAACATCGGCGTCGGCGTCGGCGTCGGTGGCAGCAGCGCACAGCACAGCACAGTTCCCGCTGGCCCTCGGCAACGTCGAGGGTTACTTTCCTCCCTTTCTCTGCCGCCCTTCTTCAGCCTGGCCGCGCGCTCCCTCGTCTCTCTTCGTCGCGCCGGCTTTCCCTCGAGGCCGTGCTCGCTCGCACGCGGAATATGCGCGGCTGGACACGCGCACTAACCATCCTTTCACCCTTACAGCTTCGGTCGTGGGGCTCGAGCAATCGAGGAGAGGGTGCACGCTTTCAGCCCTGGTGGGGTTTCGAACCTAGAGGAGAACCTCCCTCGGCTCCGAAAGAGGGGGGGAGGAGGGGGCAGGGTGCGGAAGCGGCGCCGACACCGAGCGACGCAGTGCCGTCGGGACGCTCGACCGTGCGATATCGTCTCCGCAAGAGTCAACTCGACGCCGCCAGCACCGAAGCCACGACCACGACCACGACCACGACCACGACCACGACCACGACCACGATCACGATCACGATCACGATCACGACCACGACCACGACCACCACGCCACACGGCTCTCCAAACTTTGCTTACTTTGCCGTCCGATGATCCTTATACGTTGTTGTCGGAAACACCGCGCGAAAAACAACTCGACAAAGGTTTCGGTTTGACCAAACTACCGGAAAACTCCTCGTTCGAGGACCTCGCGAGATCTGGACGAGGCGAGAATTTCACTCGAAACAGTCCCGTAGGACAGTGTTTCGGCTATGACGGGGCAAACGCGACGATGCGGTTCGATCACCCGACTACTTGGACACGATGCAGTTTTGGATGCTTGCCGGGGATATTGTCTTGTCACAGCAGTACGTCTTTAAAGAGTTACTGGTGTGATGGGACATTGTCCTCGTCTCGTGGCCCTCGTCGAAG